TTTACTACTTTCCTATATCTAAGTCTACTTCGGTCCTTGACCTTGCCTCTTACGGTCCTTGGGGACGTTTCGTTTTGGCCAATTAGATCGCAAGATGCGCTTCTTTTGGCCAATGAGAGACCGCTCGTGGTCCTCCGACTCAGAGGCCTCCACCGCCAGCCAATCCAGCGTGTCCAGTGACGCGTCTTTCTACAGCGCGTCGTCTGGCCAATCAGAGCGCGGATCAGATGGAGCGACACTTGGTTACAACTCGGCTGACGACGGCGCGTCACATGGGTACTCCCGCTCTGATTCTGAGTCAGGGCTGGGGGTGCACACTTTTGCCCTTGTTTTGGGACTCGACGGACTTCAAGATGGCCAAGAACTGGACTCACGCGCCGTGTCACTGCTCAGCACTAGCGGTGTTTCATCGCCCGCAACTTCGGGCACGGGTTCAAGACCCGCAGCGCCCATTTCACCCCAAGTAGCTTCGCGCGCCGGGCCCACTGGGCCCTAAGGCAGTACCCGGTCCTTACGCGAACTCACCGCATTCTGGAGCATCGCCGCGGCCGCCGCCGCAACACCACCGACGCGCACCCCGTGTGACGTGCAACCAGCGCGAGCACCGCCTGGACGAGGCGCTGGATGATCTGGTCACTGTACAGCGAGCCACTCCGACGGACCAGCGTGCCGTACGCAACCCACATCACCGCGTCGGGTCGGATGCACACGTCAATGCGTACGGCACGCTGGCAACCCACGTCGCCGCGTCGGTCGGGTGCACACGTCAATGGCGACGCAGGAGCTGCGTCAGGACTTTGCCAAGGACGAAGCCAAGTGTGTGGAGCAGATTCTCAAGGGTACGTGCGCTGAGACGGCGGCGGAAGAACACCCTGACGTGTGCCCCATTGGCCGCGACGAGCTACACCGCCACTTCACCGGCACCAACTCAGCACCAGCGCCGTTCCATTACGACGCGCCTCAGGGACACGAATTCTGGGCGGCGCTCGACACCCTGCCGGGGCCCACGGAGGATGCAGACGCTTTCACGGACGAGCTAACGCAGGATGAGGTGGAGGACCAACTCAGCCACGTCGCCAAAACATCAAGTCCCAGACACGATGGCGTAGGTTACGACATCTACCGCCGTTTCGCGCCGCAGCTGATCCCCCTCCTCCACGCCGCATACCGGTTCTGTTGGCTTCATCGGCGCCTGCCGGCCCTGTGGAAGGTGGGATCGTCCGACGCATTCACAAGAAAGCCGACCCGACGCAGGCACCGAACTGGCGGACGATTTGCCTACAGCCCACGATTTACAAGCTCTACAGCGGGCTGCTGGCACGCCGACTATCACACTGGATGGAGCGGAACCAGCGTCTCCCTATGGCACAGAAAGGCTTCCGTGCCTTCAACGGATGCCACGAGCACAACCTCGTGGCAACGACACTGCTGGGCCAGACGCGGCGGCTACACCGCAGGTTGTACCAAGTCTGATACGACCTGCGGAACGCGTTCGGGTCACTGCCGCAGCTACTGATGTGGCGCGTGCTTCGCCACCTCGGCGTCGACACCAGCTTCGTCGAGCGCTGCGAGGACATTTACGCCGGATCTGCCTTCGTGGTGGCCAACGCATCCGATGGACCGACCGATCCGGTACGCCCGGAGGTGAGCGTCTATTAAGGTTGCCCCTTGAGCCCCCTCCTCTTTATCGCGACACTCGTGCCACTTGTGCGGAGGCTGGAGCAGCTTGACGGCATCGGGGTACTGCTGGCCGAGGGCTTGCGGCCATGCGTCACCGCCTACGCCGACGACATCAAGGTCTTCAGCGACAGCGCCGCCGGCATCCGCAAATGCCACGGCGTTGTCGCGCGCTTCCTGGCGTGGACAGGGCTGCGGGCTAATGCCGCCAAGTGTGTGAGCCTCGCAGTGACCACGAACACCCGTGGCAATCCGACTCCCGACGAGAGCGTGCAGCTCGAGCTACACGGCGATGCCATCACCCCCCTCAGTCTCCAAGGAAGTTATCGCTTCCTGGGGGTGGGCGAAGGCTTCGACCACGGGCGCCATCGCCTCCAACTTGAACCCAAGCTCCAACAGATCAAGCGGG